CTGTTGTTGTGACGGATTCCCATTTTTTCACTTTACTGCCGGCCCATTTCGCACCAACATATTCGCATTCTTTGCAAGAACGATACCAATTTGATCCTGGGGCATGTCTTCAAGATTCGAAGACCCTTACCTAAATGCCGTGCTTGAAAGTTGTCTCGTTTGCACTGCCGCAAATGTTCCGTCCACATACCTAGTAAAACATTTTTTCCACCACTGAAGTAATTGTTTTACAAATGTGGCAGCTACACTCTCTAAACATTTAATCAAGTAGGAAACAATGTGTTTCGCTCATACAACTGTGATTAAAACCCATTCATTACTAACACGTACATGTAGCATTTTCGTTGTCCATAAAAGCACATGACAAGCAATAAAACTAGAATAATTACAAAGAGAACCAATACATCTATAATTAAATTCGTATCTAACAGGAATGCAGAAATTGAAAATGCACAACTAATGATTATCACAATACCCTGGAACTTAAATCACAATCACAATTATTGCAAAGACTATGAGAGATGGATAAAGCCTGAAGAGGAGGTTTTCCTAGAATCTCCTGAACATATCGAAAACACCACTACCATCGAACACCAAACTAATCACAGTTTTGTCACTCAAGTAATTGAAAATTAGTACAGTCCCTCACAACCCGTCTGGCAAACGAATCACTGCATATAACACAATGAATATAAAGTTACAGACAGAAAGAACACGGACTACACTTATTACAATTAGACAAGGAGAAGGTACACACGAGAACGCACTGGAACAAAACTTTACATACATTTCCGCTTAAGTAGTTTAATAAAGTATGCACAAAGTGGCAAAAGGCCGTCATAGGCCTAAGTTGAACCATACTTTTCCATCCATTCGATGTACTGCCGTATATTTTCCTATAAAAAGACAAATAAACCGACTGGGTTCCTATGAAAAGACAAATAAAGCGATTGGCAACCCGCAGACTTTTTTTGAACTGTTCAGCTAATGTGAACCTTCCAGGATACCCCACTGCTGGAAAAGGCTTCATCATTACCCCGAGGCAACCAAACAAATAAACATGTATGCTAGATCAGTTCCACTATTCTAGCGATGTTGATGTGCAAAAGCTTAGCACCTACACGACACTGATCAATGCTCTACTTACATCAGATACAGATGGATTTGTATCGTTGAAGGCCTCCTGAAGGTCTTGCCATGTGATGGGAAGATCAACTTCTTCTCGAGATAGCTTAGCTATCTCGGCTGGTGACATCATTCGAGTTAACCTATAAGATATGCGAAGAATTAGAAGCACTTATGTGGCCAAACAACGGTAACCCGATAACATCCCAAAAATCTGGACAAGCTTAGCGGATTAAGGTACATTCCATTTTCCGACTGATAAGCACTAGGGCACCCAAATCGAAAACTAATACTCTGGAAACCATGGACTTGGTAAGACAGTTACCAAATTACCTCTTTACACCCATCAGCGCTGCTTTTCTGCAGACGTTTGTTATGTCAGCGCCAGAGTATCCTTCCAGCTGTTCGGCGAATGTCTCGAGATCAACATCATCTGCTATGCGGACCTGAAATGCCCACTTTCGCACATACAGGAAGTATTAATTCCACAGCAGCGATAAAAGTTGGTACTGTCCTTAACATAGAAAGAAAAAGGAAGAACACTCCAGCCGTCCGAGCCCTTTCGCATAATGGCACGTCGTACTAGGCATTTGAATGCAAAGTCCATGGAAGTTTCGACTCTTGCCTTCCCAGTACGAGCACCGGTCTATGTACAAATCAACTTCTTCAACCTTGTTCAACCCTTCAACTTGGTACTATTCAATAACAACAATGAGATGGAGTTGGGGTTGGTCAATCCAGTAGAGATCCTAGATTCCACTCAGATTATGACCATTTTCCACTGACCCACCCCCTAATAACATAACATACTAGTTAGTTTACCTCTTTCAACGAAGAGCACAAAAGCGACAGTCGTGCTGGTTTATCGGGAAGTGGGATGTAAATCCTCTGTTCAAATCTGCGACGAAGAGCCTCATCTAAAAAGCAAACAAGCTGTGCATTGACCGGGCTGCATTGCGTAATGGCGTGAATACTGCGCGAATTTTGAAGCAATCTTTGCTAAAAACAAAGTAGAACAACACGATGAACTTTTTGAGTTAACTGATTAAGAAAATTGCAAAAGGCAGCAAATGGCCTCCACTTCTAATACTTGAAAAATTCACAACAAAATAGGGTGTCCAAGAACTTGGGACTATTGTTTGATAATGCTTTGACGGAGTTCAAAAGCGATCACATCCGATTTCCAGAGAAATGGAGATTCATTTAAAGGTCGATATTGGAGTCAATTATATGCT